AATGTTTAATGATAGAAAAAATAAATAAACTGTACCTATTTTGCCTACAGAATGTACCTTGTACCTTGCACTCTAAAATAAATCACGTGTTTAGTTTTACTTTTATATTAATACTTAATTCTTACTTTCAGAACACCTATTGTGATAAAACCTACATGTGTTTTGTCACAATAAAATTGCATAAAACTGGGTTTTTTCCACCTTATTTCCTTGCTGGTTCCATACCTTGGAACATAATCAAACATATTTTTTCATCTTGAATTCTTCCCACCAATTTCCAATGCTCAAATCTGATCTTGTATAGCATCGTCGTCAACAGCTCCTGCCCCAGGTCAGGGATCATCTTTTTCCATAATTTTCAAGAGAGTACAAAACATTCTTTTTATAAACAATACATATAGAGGGGTGACCGTACTGTGAACTATGGCAATTTAAGGGTTTAAAAAAAACCTTATTTAAGCGATTTTACATAATCACTATTTTTTTTCTCCCCAACGAATATGTTTTTACTCCCCGAATGGGGGTGGGGGTGAGCTCTTTTCGACAGACGCCCAAATGTACCACCCACTAGGTAGTAGCATTAATGAAGGCAGCATTTACTTCAATTGATTGGTTTTCAAAAGAATAGAGCATATAAATACAATTACGTTCAACAGGTTGGCAAAAATCTTTTTTATAAAACAACAAAATTAATCCTTGTCATTTGATTGGTGGATTTAATATCATTTGACATTGGGCATTTATACCATTTATTAATAGCAAACTAAGTAATTCTCCCAACCCCTCCAATCAATTCTGCATGTAATTTAGATCCATTTCCATTCATTTTGTGTATTTAAAGCTTCCAACTAATATTATGTATTCATTAGTTGAAAGAAGTTGGGCTGTTCCATTTGAAAAAAAAGATAAACCTAACTTTGTTTTCAAAATATATGAAATAACAAGAATCTATTGTAATTGTTTATATAAAAAAAAATAATAAATTTTATATTCTTGGAATGGAAAAAATCTTCTCATTCATTGAAAAGTGGATTGTGCCATTCAATTAAACTCTGGCATATTGAATGGAACAGTCCATCTTTCATATTCTTCCCATTGCACTCAGGAACATTATTTTTATATCACTCATAGGATTAGCCGAATGCCACCATACCAATCCATCCCCTAGGCAATGAAATACATTAAATTATTAACAATACGTTTACAATACACAATGGAACTTGAATTTTGAATAGTGTAAAATGTTTATCTCTTCATACATTTTCTGCTAACACAAAAATAAAATCTAAAAAGAAAATTCACTTCAATCGATTTAAAACTTTATTTGAGCTAATAGACATTAGTAAACTAGAAATTGCAAATTGCAAATGAAGTGCTGCAAAGTACAACTGCATATAAACAAAATTATTTATGCGAGTCAGGTGAAATAATGAATAATAAAAATATAACAAATAATATGAGACACGACCCATTGTCTATATTAGAACACTGATGAGCTGACGTAGAAACATAGTAAAAACGAGCTTTGGTACCATGTATGCCAGTCTACAACAAGCTTCGCCTAAATGTAATAATTAGCACGCTGAAATAGGCTAGTAAATAAGTTTAACTGGGTTCGTAAATAATATTGGCCTAAAAATATCGTGGCTGAGACATGGGCTGATTAAACGTAGAAATAGGAAACCTAGAAATATTATAGTAAAAACATATGAAAAGTAATACTCGAGCGTTGTTAATATATTTTTATCATATTTTTAGCCCCAATAGGAAAAAAAAAACCAAAAAAACAATAAGTAAATTATTAAAATAATAAATTCATAAAGAATATAATATAATTATTTTAATATAATAATGCAGAACCTAAAGCTATTCACATCACAAATAAATCAAAGAAACATGTGATGCAACTGTTAAAGTGGAAGAGGGGTTTACAGTGTAGTCATACCTATACACTTTTATGAAAACAATAAACTGAATTATCTTAAGTTTTAAAAAAATCATAACTCTTTCAGGGGAAAGAAGAGGTCACACAAGTATGTTTTCTACAATGATGAAAATCATAAAAAAAACATTTGATGACATTTAATTCATTTACAAATATTTACTAGTTACAATTTTTTCCATTGATAAACATTATTAATTCATATATCTGTAATAGGCTGCACTCATGACCTAAGCATCAAGCTTAGGATGTAATCATTTCATATAATGCTGAGGATAAACAACTATAGCATACAGATACAAACTGTTTCAAACCAACCTAAAAGAATTTAATTTCAGGCGGTCTTTTAAAATTAATAAAAAATATTACTATTTGATTACATGATCTAAAAATGAAAACATATAAAGAATACACTTCATTTTACATTATGCAACGATGAAGACACTAAAAATACAGAAAATAAAACATACATTAATTAAACAGGGTAGACACATCAAAATCCTTTTGTTTGAACAGGCTAAAAATAAAAAATTATTATTACTGATGTTGATAATTATTAATATTATTAATTGTTGATATAGTGCCAAGGTCCTAGAGGCTGGAAGGGAAGAACCACTGCCGATCTCACAATCAGAAGTCCAACACCTTACACGTTGCACCACACGCTCCTACAATGGTAGATCCAAGGTTGTTGCATGGGAGAGAAGAAGACAAGAAGGAAGAAGAAAAAAAACAAGAAAGAGGGGTGCTTGGTACTCTAAAACAAGCTATTTTATAAATTTACATTCCATGGTACCACTGTCTTGAAAAACACTGATTTTGAAAATACAGAAAGTACTAGTAATCTTGTTTTTATGCACGTCACAAAGTAATTAAATAGATTTGGCAGACTATTCATGTTGAGATCAAACAACATTTTTTATTAATTATGGTAATTAATTGTGGTAATCATAAATTGCTATCAACTCATGTTAAGTTTATATGATTTCAAGAGAATAAGTGAAGTATCTTAATCATCGATCCAATTAAAACATTGAACGGCTCATTTAAATATATATAATATGTCTTAAAATACAGGAAACAATAAAATATTCATTTAAAACATTGAACAGCTAATTTAAGAGGTTTAAATAAGTTAACAACTTGCAATCATATAGGTAAAAATTATAGAAATAAAACAAGGAAGTTGATTTCACTTATTTGTGAAAAAATTCTGGAGTTTACAGAATTTATATCCAAACACTTGCATTTAAAGTGGGCACCTCAATAAAAAATAGAATAAAAGTCACAACTAAATTTCAAATAGAGATTGTAATACAATATTATAGTAAATATCAATGTTCTTTTATTAATATAGTTATCAATGAAATATTATAACCATAGGCGTGTAACACAAGTTATCTCATCTAATTGATGACCCTCGTGCTAAAAAGCTTTCCTACAGACTGTTTATCACTCAGTTTGTAAATAAATAACATAGCCATCATTCCAAAAGACTACACTTTCATTCAAAGCCAATCATAAAATATATATTATCACTTAATGTTCAAAATTCTGGACAGAAATTTTCTACAACAAAAATTAAGGATATGACTGCAGATTAAGATCATATTTTCAGTAATTAAAAAAATCATCTCTTGAAGCTTTTTGGATAAAAGACTCAAATGATCATAAAAACACATTCTTACATCTTTGGATAATAGCGACATTAATAACCTACATACAATGTGAATTATATGTATACAATATTAAGTAGGAAACTACTCTTCACGTGTTGGGCATGGATTGTTTCTGTCCTGTGCCAAAGAACGTTCTTAGGCATGTTAAAAGAATGGTTCCTTCTTATGGGCCCCATTTGTACTGCCACAAAAAAAAAGCCGTTCTTAAAACAATGGTTCTTAAGAACGGTTCTTTTTTCGTCAGTAGAAACAGGCCCCTGTAAGTAATGTCCAACCATGCTTAGGTTAGCAGTAAGTTTAGTTTTAATACTAGTCTATATTTCTGATTTTTCCTGACAAAATTTAAGCACATCAAGGCAGCTAGCTTAGTTTGCTATATAATGTTGAAGCTTATTGAACATTATACATGCTGTACCTGCAAGTAGTAGGTTCTTATAAATATTAAATACGATAATTATATATCTAATTAGCATATTTTTCAGTCATGAAGGCCAACTCAGACTGTATCCTGACACGACTTATCATCGGGAGCAGTCTTGTTATCATGAGTCTTTGAAACGGCTGTCCCTGATGCATACCATATTTTGTGGCAGCATTCACCTCACAGACACGAAAAAAAACTGCATCTGGCTGTGTCGTATAATGGTGTCGGAGTTTGCCTTTAGAGCAATCACATCAGCATCTTTTAATAGTTTTGGCTTTCATTATTCAGACTGCAGTGGAATCTATGTCATAGAATCTCCATTGTTAAATTAGTCTCCATATTTTTTTGTACATCCCACCTTCTGATTTAAACGTTCGATTGGAGGTTATTTTTGTTCGGCTGCAAGAAGTTGTCAATCAAATTCTGCACAAGGTGGCGCAATTCTTCTTTCAATGCCTCATAGTCACTGGAAAAAACAAATAATTTCATTGAATAATGTCTCTATCTACTTAAATACCCCACCAATTAGAGAACACCTAGTCCAGTCCGAAATGTAGCAATATCAGAGGTTGCATTTTTTTTTGCTATATTTTTAAAAAATTGGATATGATGTAGAATAGACATTGATAAATCAAAAAAGTATGTGCAACATTTTTTTTTCATACGTAAGGGGGGTTGCCAGCTGTTTCAAAATGGCCGCGATTTTTTCCTAAAATTGTCACTAATATTGTAAATTTATGTCATTAAAATGCAGTATTCAATTGGAAATCCACTCATAACAATGACAGCAACAGTTAACTAAATATTGTACACATTTTTGAGCTATTACAATTTAAAATGGCTGCCATTCTCC